TCTCTTTTGTTTAATCCCAACGAAAAAACTAGGTGTAAAAATGTATTTTACTTTTTTTAAAACCTGTAAAAATCAGCAGTGACAAAGTAGATGGAGAAAAGTCTGCATTATCTCAGCAGCAATATATGATTAAAAACAATTATATGTCAGTTACTTGATATTACTGTGGACACGTGAGAGAAATAATATAGATGTTCACGCGTCAGGGATTCAGGGCAAGTGGTTCACATTACAACACCTCCCAACACCTCAATATCACACATGTCCAAGTAGAGGTCTGTACAAGCCCTGGTTTCATGAGACTGTCTGTATTGATTTTTGTGACACAACCACACATCCTGTATATCTGCTGGTGCTGCTCCTTCATGCACCAACTCACCAGTTACAGTCAAATTTCAAATCATGTCTGAGTCTACACCAACATTAGCTGTAAATGATTTATTTCATTGTTTCTATGTGTGGAAGACGAGAGCTAAAGTTTGCAAACTGTTGCCAAGAAGCAGTTTGGTGGCCATGTGGGGGGCTTCGGCACATGAACAGACGGCGGCCCAGCCCACACCACGGTCCCATCGTGACCGCCCATGACCACTTGTAGCCTTAGAAGACGAACCCTGTGCCGCAAACATCTGCTGTAAGTTTTACAGGACCCGCAGGCTGGATCTCTCTTCTTACACTGACCTACCAAATTTCCAATTTGGACAATGATGGCCCAAATACTGTATTCGTTTGACAATAAAGGTCAACATCAGAATTTGGAGAATATGGAATTATAGAACTGTATTTCTCTGCACAGCTACCTCACAGACATTTTATCCATATTGTAAGAAAATATGTCACTGCAGTAAACCAGTTCCTTCTGTCAGGAAAAAAAACCCACTGGTCTACCGAAAAACATGTTGACCTTTAAAACCACTGTGGTTTGTACTTCTCTCCCTCTGTCTTATCATTTAGTCTGCTCATCTTGTTTTTTTCTCTGTAGGATGCAAATGATCTTTAGTCACTCTTTGATTGTAGTCTGATTGTAGTCTGTGTGTCACCAACCACAGGCATTCCATTGACCATTAGCGCAGGGTGGGGGATTGGACAACGGGCCCATTGTAAGAGGCCAGTGATGGGACAGTTATTTTCATAATTCAAAAGCATAGCCCATAATTTCAGCTTTTTATTCCTGAGTGTACTTACCTGTGTGTCTTACATCTACTGCTGCATTTAAGCACAGCGGCTACTGCTGTTTGCCTTTGTATAATGAATCCTTAGGCACTCACTCCCACAGCATGGGACTTTCTACACACACACACAGTGCTGAAAGCAGGTGTCCTGACATGCAAATACATAATGACTGTAGAATTAATAACAACTAAGTATATGCCCCGATTACTCACATATATACATTTATGATCACCATTTTTCTTTTCACTTCTTTCATTTGGTCTTTTTTATCTCTATTCCTTTATCTATATTCTCTGGCTTGATCTAGTCGTTAATGTTGAGTCAAGGCTGTGTCATTTTCTTTTATGTTTTTATGTCTGTATGTGTGAGAGAGAGAGAGAGCATTTCTCCATCTTTTTCTCATACAAAGCATTTGCCTCTGTTTAGTTTAACAATATATTCTCATTTACACAACAACACATTCTCATTCACACACAGCGACAGAAACTGACCTGCCTCTCTGCGGAGGCATTATTGTGGCAGCCTATTGAAATGTTAACGACCAGTGTGAGGAGGTTCACCTATGCAAAGTGTTTCTCTATAACCTTTGATAGAGTTTATGTAAATATACAAACACCTTTATAGCAACAAATAGAAGATAAACAGACATGGAAGCAGGTCACTGATCATTATTTGATATTTATAGTGATGACACTGTACCATAAATGTGGGAGTCAGTTTCAATACCGCAAGAAACACTACACAACAATAGAGGCTCCTACACACACACACAATGTTTTAGTACACATCCATGTTGTTAAGGTACAAATAGTAGTTCAAATAGTCTAACAAGGCAATGGACCACAGTGTGAAAATATTCATTTTAAAAGTCAGCTTAATGTTTTGATTACTTTATATTTTAAATAGAAATAATTAATAACTTATGCGTCTTGATGGTCACCTGTTGGCTGGCTGCAGTACAGGTCATAAATCTTGCCTCCTCCACATTAGGAGATGGGACATGGACCAAAACTAAAGAGTCAAAATACATGTCGAATAATTTTGTTACTACTACGGCACCACACCATGATCCCTATTGCGCTGACTCAGGCTCCAAATGGTCAAGATGGTAGCGTTTGTATTCTGGATATTTTAGCTTCATTTCTTTAATGTGGGAGGATGTGTAGAACCAATGTCCATCTTTGTATAAAGTCTATGATTTAGAGATGTTATTGTTTCTTTCTATCGTTTGGAATACACTGGCACCATTTGCATACTGGCTTTGCAATAATACATGTCAAATGCAACATATCTCCATTCACCAGTTTAGACCAGTTTCTTTTTTTGTCTTTTCCCCATAAGTCGTTGTGCTGGTGCATGTTGTTATCGTTGACCTCTTTTTTTTTTTTCCCCTTGAGTTTATCATCTGAATAGAACGCAGGTTTATTATGCTGCTTTCATGAGTCCCAGAACAACGACCTTTGGTACATCAGTACTGTGGAAATTTCAGAATGTTGGCATCAAATTGGTACTGATGTATTGTTTCTCGTGACATAGCTATTTTAGTGTTACTGACAGATATAACCCCATTATAGCTATGATCCTGAAATAATAGAAGCGTTCCATAAAATCGCAGCATGCTTTTTCAGGACAAAGTGTCTAGTCCTTATTCTCTTCTGTGTCTGTGTATGTGTTTGTTTTAGAGTGTTGTCTTGTTTGTAAAAATCCACAGAACAGTAAGGTTTGACACCAGATGATAATGTTGTTTTACTGCCTCACATGCTGATTATTTATCTGCTGAAGTATCAGAGGAAACCTGAAAGCTGCGCTCATTCATTGTTTTACTGGCAAATTGAATTCAACACCCAGAAAAACAACTTAACATACATTTGCATATTTTCTTTCAGATTTCATAAAACATTTCACAGCCTGAATGGGTGGTCCTGACCCCAAAGCTGAGCCCTGCTGTTTTGAACTTTTCTACAGCAAAACAGCACCCACCCTCTACTCTAAATTCATTCTGGCATTGGTTCCGTCCCAGAAAAAGAAATGAATTAACATGAGTTATCAAAGCAGGGAGGTTAAATCAGATAAATCAAGAATGTAGCAGCAGCATAAAAACTGAAAAGTTGCCAAATCATGACATTACTTTGGACAGAATCTCGGAGTAATACATTCTCGCTGTAATTATGCACAGAAAGTAGCCAACATTTCTCTTCTGGGGGTTTTGAAGTTCTTTCCAAGGTCGTAGAGCTTCCTATCAGGTCTGGACAGTCAGTCAGATGGGGGGAGTTTTTTCCATTGGGGGAAAACAGCTTTCTGCAGAGTAGAGGACTTTGTGTCAGCTTAACGCTGTTAAACCTACAATCCCCACAGACAAACAGTGTCTAAACCTGACACTGCTGACCCACGCAAACACACGCAGGCAGGCTGAACTCACACATTGCACATAGACAGCCACACATACGCACACACACTTTTTATTGCAAGTACACACAATCATTAATGAATTTCTGGCCACACAACACACATACGCACATTATTTGACATAAACAATATAATTGTATAGCAAGGACTGACACTAAACTGCCTCCACTGACATTTTTGATGTGAATACACAGGAAATACAGTAACACTAAATGTTATAAACACACCTCATCTTTTGATTTTCTCAGTATATAAACTGTTTTCATCTGTCTGTATACAATCTTTGTATGGCCTCAAATGCAGCATTTATTTGTCATTTAGTATTTGTATTGTTTCATCACATTGAGGTATTTTTAATATATAAATAATAATATATATTATGTTGATATGGCAATAAAGTATACATTTAAAGGTACATACTCACATGCCTTTGGTATAAAACAACTTTGTATCATGGACAAATATGGAGCACACAGTTCAGCTCATTACCTAAGTGCATTACCTGTCTTTAAATCATGACCACACTCTGGAAATTGATAGATTTTTTTTGCAGATCATCTACTTGCAAGGATTAATGTGATAAAACATTGATGTTATATTTTTAGATTAAATTATTTATCATGGAAAGATGGCTGTCTGATCAACTGATACGTTTCCTTTTCTATTACGAAGACTGGATCATTTTTTAGAGAATATATTTTATTCTAGGGTCAAAATCTAAGCTTCTACAAGTTTATCTGAGTTTGTTGCGTGTTTGGAATGGAAATGTATATTTAAAAAAAATTATATTGAACTTGTCATTAGGCTTTGAGTATAATCTACATGCAGTGAGCCATCACAAGCTTCAAACACACATTTTTATCTTGTGGAAACTATGTTCTCCCTTTGTTGCTGGTGTTTTTCTCTCTAACTACGTCTCAAACTTGGTCATTACTGCCATACCTCCTCTCTGATTGGTGCTTCTCCACCATCTTTCTGGTTTTATTACAGTCATTTTTTATCCATAAAGCCAGACTTTCTTTCTTGTTTCTCTGTCTGTTGCACAATCTTTCTCTCCTCTCTGTATTACCTCTTGCTCAGTACTTTTGTCCTTCTGGCTCTCTGCGTTTGCTCTATTCTCCAATTACCTCTTGAAAATGCACGGGTCACTTTATTGATATTGCAGAGCTGAGAAAGGGAAAAAAAAGATACATAAAAGCAGCCAAGCCCAAATGGCTTTTTCCTTCTTCTTTAGTTCAGAAAAAAACACTCATGGAGAAATTTAGCTGGAAAGCTCCTTGTGATAGTTTCTCTCAAATTAAAAAGCTTTTAGTTTAGCTTTTGGACTCTACTCAAGGACAATGAGCTGACCTGCGTCTCTTCACCCTCACACTGTTCACCCATCTCCCCTCCTCACCCTTCTCTGTCTCCACCGCTCTCTCTAGGAGGTGTCCCGTGTGCCAGGCTCTGTTTCGGAGAGTGGAAAGGAGCAGCTCATGTTCGAGGTTCCTCTAAATGACACTGGCTCGGCAGGGCTCGGCATCAGCCTCAAAGGAAACAAGTCCAGGGATACGGGAGAGGATCTGGGAATCTTCATTAAATCCATCATACATGGAGGGGCTGCATACAAGGTGACATAATATTCTACATCTCACCCGAATGAGCAAAGTGTGTCTGTGTGGTTTTCTCTGGGTACTCTGGCTTCCTCCCACAGTCCAGAAACATGCAGCATAGGTTAATTGGAGACTTTAAATTTCCCGTAGGTGTGAATATGAGTATGGATGGTTGTTTATCTCTGTATTTTGGCCCTGTGGTAAACTGGCAACCCGTCCATGTAGGTCTCTAACCCAATGGGATTGGCTCCTGCCCCCCTACGACCCTTAAAGGATAAGCAGTATAGATAATGGATGGATGGAGGATGGATGGATGAACAGATAGGAACAGATCTTTGGATATGAGATGACCTGTTGTGTGCTTTTAACCTTTGACCCCTACACACCAGGACCAACTTGACATGTCCTGGACAGCAGAGAGAGACAGAAAAGCAGGCATGCAATCAGACAAGCACACATCCACGCCCACGCACCTGTGTAGCGTTTAGCATCTGTGCGGAGACAGACAAAAAAAGGATGTCACATCTATTCCTGTCCAGATCTGCTGTAGAGGCATTACAGATTAAATAACACAGCAGGGACGTCACAGACAGAGCTGACTGTTGTCTTTGTTTTTGTGGTTGGAGCTGAGTGGAGTCAGAAAGTCATGGAAAGATGTGTGGATGTGTTTGTGTCTGTGTGTTTGCAATTTTGTCAGTCACATTGTTGCTGTTCTTGCTGTACTTTCATGCAGTAGCTCTCCGTCAATTGCACTGTGCTTCCTCCCATTGTTATAAAGGACACATACATGATGCTCGTCTGCTCTGTGCACACAAGTTTTCATTTTCAATTCAACTTTATTTAAATAACAGGATTACGACATATTAGAGCAAATGTTTGGTCACCTAAATAATCCTACAGACACTGCACCCATTGCAATACATGTCAGTTCATAGAACGATAGCTCAGTAATCAACAAGGTTTACAAAGACATTATTCCCAGTATTTCCAGAATTTCTTGTCAGTACATTTCGCAAAATGTTAATTTTCTCCATAGTCACATTTCTCAGGTCAGTCTTTCATTTTACAGCTTTCCTACTGGCTGCTAAAAGTCTTAAATAGATATTTGTCTTGTGCAATTAAATGAATATTGCAATACTGCCTTGGTAAATTGTAAAAAAGAGCAATTAACCCCATCAACAAAGATGTTCCTCTCAGTATGACCGAATGACTTGACAACTATTTCCTCCGACATAAGCCCCTTCCCATCTCAAGTTCTCGTGTTTTGTTTTTATTAATACAGGTCATCACTAATCCAGTACTACTATAATGAATACATGTATGAATTAAACTGGTGTGTGTTTGTGGTGTGTGTACAGGATGGCCGTCTGCATATCAATGACCAGCTGGTAGCTGTGAATGGAGAGACGCTGGTAGGACGCTCCAATCATGTGGCCATGGAGACTCTCCGCCGGTCTATGTCCCAGGAGGGAAACGTCAGAGGGACCATCCAGCTGGTGGTGCTGAGGACTTTGAAGGTAAACACACTCTCTCTGTTTTATGAGTGGTACTTGTGGGGCCGGAATTTGGACAAAATGAACTGGCTGATATTTCTGAGATGACATTAGCTTTGCAACGATTTGTTGATTGGCAACAACCTTGATAATCTTTTAATTTTATTTTAAAGCAAACATAACAAAATGATCATGTTTATATCCGTGAATGTTTTTCTGATTTCTTTTTCTGATTTGAATTGAGCATCTCACATTTTGGGACTGTTGATTGGACACGTCACCTGGGGCTCTTGGAACCCTTGATGGTTTCTTTTCAATAATTGTCATAGAAAACCAGAATCTAGGTTAGGACACCTGCTGTGTGAATGAGAGCACACGTGCGCTTGTGTCACTTGACACTTGAAAAAACATGCACGCCTCCTTTATCCTTACTCTGTATCTGCTACCTCATCTTCTGGATCTCAATGACTTGTACTTTTTTTTCCTGCAGTCCATTGCCTACTACATCTACATATACTTGACACAAGTCCCACTGCTCTTTTCACTGCTCTTATACTGGCAGCACCAAAAGAGTATTTACACTTCAGGTCTCTATTCAGATGTGTGTCTTTTTGTGTGTGCATGCTTCTCTGAGTGTGTGTTCTTCACTCAGCTGTATCTCTTTTCTTCAGTAGTAAGAAAAACATGTTTTTCCTCTCTGCTGTTGATGCCTTTAACATGCTGCTTGAATGTTTGTTGGCTCAAGTATGAATGGCCCGTTGCATGGTTTGCTGTTTTTAAAAGAGCTACTAATACACCCTGCACTATATGTACACTCACAACATGTAACATAACACACACACAGACAGATAAATGGAATAACACTATAGAGAAACAAAGACCAAAGTGTTGAGATGTATGTGAGTTCCCTGCAGTGTTTTCCATGAAATTCATTCAATATATGGCGGTAGCATGAGTGTTCGTACACACACACACACACACACACACACACACACACACAAACGTAGCTCGTGGTGCAACAGATTCAGAGTGACGTGCACAGAAACAAAAGTGAAAGACAATAAATGGCCTGCGTGGAAAGTAAAAACTTTATGGACAATAACACAAGCCAGCACACAACGAATAGCACTGCACAGAGCTACACATTGCAGCACCAGAACAAAACACCAAGTTAGTGAACTCTTCTGTTATTATTGGACAAATTAGAGCCGCCACATTCTAAATAATTAATGGGAAACACTACTTTGATAAGGCATTTCCCTTGGCAGAGGTATGCACTCTCAGAACTCTCTCCTAGTATTAAACTACATTAGGTTTAGGTAAGTACATACAGAGCTCAGGGCTTCCCCCACCGATACCTTGATGGTTAAAGCTCTTGCCAACATCAAAGTTGCATCCATGTTCCCCTCTTTGTCTTACGAGTGGAGGATAGGATTAAAAAAGAGGGAGATAAAGGCAGAGAGATGAGAGACTGGACCTTAAAAGCCTTTTGGGTGCTTCAGTATTGATGCTTTTAACATTTCAGAAGTGGACCACTCTGCTTTTTTTCCCCTTCGTCTGATCTTTTTTCCTTCCTTTTCTTGTATTTGTCCTTTACTCCCTTTCTGTCTCACCTCTGACTGTATTTATCTGCAGCCAGCTCTCATTCAGTCTTTCACTTTATCCAGCTGCTCTTTTCATTCAGTAACGCCCCCCCTTGTCGCCAAGCTCAGTAAGTGTGGCTCTTATTCAGCAGGTTTCATGGTTTTATTCTGATGCTGCTCTTGAACATCAGCAACGCTGCTAACACAGTATCTGAGTTTCCAACTTTGGTAGAGGATGTTGTGGATAATTCCTCTTTTTATCATTACTGTTGATACTAATCACATAAGTTACCAGTTTCGTTAGTTTTCTAACTTCCAATTCTTTTGGTTGTGTGTTCAGGAGCTGCTTTCACTGGGCTTTGCAACATCTGTCAACTGTATAGGCAGCACCTTATTGAGAACAGGAAGGCAGGGGGAGTCTGGCTGATAAAGCATGCTGTTGCTGGTGTGGTATATCGTGATATAACCCTTCAGTGTGTATAACCTTAAAGTGCTACCAAGCAGTAATCCTGCTGCCAATCATAACCTTTTAACTTGTTAGCATCCTGATAGGAACCACAAACTCTTATCATCTAGAGTTATGCGAGCTGAACAAACACCTCTGTAAATGACACGCTGCAGTGTTTGATGTGGAAAGTGGCACGTATGGTGCTGCTGACGCACAGAAACTAGCTCCTTGAATTTGCCAGTTATCCAAACCACATTCCCCCAAAACTGCTTTGTCAAAAAGTACTGAATCTATTGAATAATTAAAAACAAAACAAACGACGGCTGTTTTTCTACCTCAGCAGCTTTTTTTTTTAGTTTCTGAAAATGTGTGTGTTTTCTAGAGTAATCTGATGGCACTGTGACACTGGTTAATGGGATGTGTGTTGGTGGAGAGCCAGCTAGGGAAGGGGAGAGTGATCTGTCCTGGGTTGAAATTTGAGAGAGGCTGCTGGGTGGGGAGGAGGGGGGATTTTTCAAGAGGAAAATGACAAGGAGGATTTATCACACACACAGCGCTGTTATGTCTTCTTTGTTGTGTGAGTGCAGGGCTTATTCTGTACACAAACACACAAGTACCCTGAACCACGCCACCGAAACGACATACATATGCATACATGTTAATGAAAACGAACTGTTTTCTACACACTCAAATGACAAATACATGCAAATGAAATTCCTAAAGAAGTACACACAATACGAGACACTGGAACTGATGCTTTGTTTGAATATTACAGGGCCCTAAGAGAGCCATCCCTCCAGGACTCGGTGTCAGTGTGACTGTCATTGCCACACACTCAGACACACAAACACACACATACACAAAGAGAAGTGATCAGAGTAGAAGATGGCCACAACTCTTCGGGCCATGGGAAATGAGGTCCCCTTTTCCACCTTGACCCTCCACTGTCTTTTGAGTGTCTCTCCCTTATTCAAGGTCTTGACATCTATTTGTGTTTGAATAGTCGACTACACAGCCCCCACTTAGTCCACTGCTCATCACTCAGTTTAAAGTAATCCACATACCACACACTTACATAAAATACAAGATTTTTTTCAAATGTTGAACAGAAACATCGGTTTTCCCAAACTATCAAACATTTTGAGCAAATTTTCAAGTTATTGCTTTTTCATAAGTGTATTGATTCTAGGCTGCCAAAACATAATCTGTCTGTTTGAACCAGTGTCATAAACTCTTGTTGTTTTTGTCCCCCTCTGTGATTTAGGATCAACACGGTGTGTCACCCAATCGCTCCTTTGACGGCTCCTCTGGTCTGTCGGGAGTGATGAGACCATTGAACGGTCACACAGGATTGGTCAATCATTCCAACGGCCCCATCCACCCTCCCCACACTCTCTATGGGTCTAACGGTGAGTGGAGTGTTTTCAGACACTCACAGTCATGACATTTGAACTGCGTTCAGACATTTCTGGAAAATAGTATGTGAGATTCTGAGTCAGATTCTCCAGATATTTGCTATTTTTCTAACTTCTCCTGTCAGCTCTCCAGTAAAATATCTGTAAAATGCAAAAGTCATTGTGAGCAAGAAGGCTATTTTTTTATTTAATTAAAAAAAAAATCCCTTTTTTCATTTTAAGTATTAATGTATCCATTGCACTAAGTTCCCAAAAAACTACATGCCAAAGCCCTAGCAATCGAAAGCCTGGTCAGATTCTCAACCTTTTTTACAGCATAAAGTTTTCCTGATCTAAAACAGAGTATCTTGAAAAGTTCTTGTTTGGAAGCCAATTAAAACTCACACATTGTTTGGCACATTTTACAAAATAATATTGGTGCATAACTCAGGTATTGTTTTAGCAGCTGTGTCAACACAAAGATCATGACCACAGCTGATGTAAGCCAGTGGGTTCAGCTTTTTAAGCTGACATATTTTTAATAAGTGCAGTAAATGTTGTTGTCAGGAAATACAGAAGCCGAATGAGTAAACTGTGTTTTTTTTTATTTTTACACACTACATATAGAATCTTTATCCAAAGATTTATATAGAATTTGCTTATTTTTTGACTCAACCCTGACTTCTATCATCTTGTTTTTCTGCTGTATTATTTACCATTAAAGCAGCATTGGAGGTGGGCATGTCCTTTGCAGTAGGTTAAGTAAAGCACTGCACACGTATAATCAGGAACAGTGTCTCCGAGATGAAACAAAGTGAAAAGAAACATAAACAAAACAGATAGTACCATCTACACTCTTTAGTTACTCACGATTCTGCTCCTGTTGTTCTTCCTTTCATTCTCTCCCTCGCTCTCTCTCTGCTTTATTTGTTTAATGTGTTTCTCAAGGTTATTGTGTTTGTGTATTATTCCTGGGTTAAGCCTGTTATTAAGAGTTATTTTAGTTACGTGTGCTTTATGTCGCTCTGCTACACAAACTCTATCCACTCCCACCCTTATATCATCTGTTTGTGCTTGTGTGTGCGTGTGTGTGTGTGTATATGTGCTTGTGTGTGTGTGTCTGCGTAATCTGTGTGCTGTTTGTGTTACCTAATTGTGTTATCCCAGTGTTGATATCTGCCTCTATGCGTCCCTCTATGCTGGTTTGTGTATGTTTTATTCTGAATGATACTTCTGCTTATTTGGAAATGTGTTAATAGCTATTGTGTGTGTGTGTGTGTGTGTGTGCGTTCGTGTGCGTGTGTTGATTCAGGTTTATTTGGCCACTATCAAACAGTGTTGCTTTCTGTGTGTTTACACTGAATCTGGTAAACAGCTTTGACCTTGAATACACTTTGCTGTTCAAATTCAGCAACGGTGTAATTTGCATCCACACATCAGTGTGTGTTACCCAGGTTAAGTGTGTGCCTGTATACAGTAAGAACATTCCGTGGACTCTGCGAGTCGTTGCCAGTATTTTACTCGCCTAATGAACTATTTCACATGCTGAATCCATTTTATTTGGCATTGAAGTCCAAATTAAAATGAAGAGATCTTTTTCTGTGCTTCTGCAGAAGAATAAATTGATTTTAATTATTCTCTACATATGTATTTATGCAGATGTTTTATTTTTGCATTTTAGATCATCCTCTTTATCTCTTATCCGTCGCTGCATGTCAGTATGTTTGCAACCACAACTCGTGCTCTCGCTGACTTTATGGTTTCTTGCTGTGCACTTGGCTTGTTTGAATTCTCTCTCCAAAGAATTACTCAATGTGGAAGCATGACATGAAATGATATTATTAGGTGTATTCTAGCTGAAGTTATTATGCAATTCTCCCCATTGTTTTGTTAAGTTTATTTAGATTGGATTTTGGGATTCAAATCTTAAAAGTCTAGATTGTTGTACTCACTAAAGGAGCACTGGTTTTACACAAGAAGATCTGTTCACTCATTATTTCTAGTCAGCCTCTGAAAACAGCTGTAGAATATTGTTTAAAGTCTTCTGTGGCTCAAAAGCCCTTTTACGACATGAACTGTAAAATGTCGGCTCGATTGGGTCGGGACTTCCTCTGGAGTTTGCCTTTCACTCAGAAGATTCTCCACTCAGACACGTTCACATCAACAGGACAGTGTTCAAGCGATGGGGGGGTGCAGCAGGCAGTGGCAGGACATAACATATCAATTCCACTGCGGAGATCATGTGTTTTTGGTTACAGCACATCAACACCAGCGTTGGCGCTTATCACCATAACATCTCAAATCAAGTGGACATGTGTGTATGTCATTCTCCTGAAGTTACCCATAGTTCAGTTCATGTCTGAAAGCAGATCAGTACTCTTGATAAGAAAGCTTAAGTTATTAAGATTTTATTAAAAAAATGTCTCACAGGGTGCAGAATTTATGCATGTTCAAATTCTTGTCTGGTGTTTTACCTTGAGAGAGAAAGGTTGGAGGCACATTGCAGACAAATACAGACAACAGGGAGACAGCAGGAAGGAAAAGTTGAGTGCAATAGAAGAAGATTCATGTATCTGCTAGTGGAGCAAACTGCTATTGATCTATCATCCACACCACAAATGCCTTTTTCACTTCAAATACTGGGAGTCAGGGAGCGCAGTGTGTGTGTGTGTGTGTGTGTGTGTGTGTGTGTGTGTGTGTGTGTGTGTGTGT